ACACAACCTTCAACACTCTTCGTATCAGTTTCTGATAAAGTCGCTTGACTTGATGGAGTACGCTTTAAAAGCAATTAATATTGAGTATATGCAAAATGTAGTACCAAGATTCATGCACAGCACAAGCGGTAGTAGAAAAAAAAGTATGAATGAGTAAGGATTAGTCCTTACCAACAGTAACGTCAAGCATACCTCCCTCCAGCAGTACGATATATTTGCGGATGTACTATTAATTTCTCAACTCTGGTGACACAAAATCTCCAGTCTCTTGTCGAGGGCAGCCTGACCGGTTCGCGCACTGGTCGGGCATTGCACGCCTTCGCCTCGTCTGGAGGGTGCATCTCGAATGTCTCTGAGAGGTACCCTCAACCCACAGAGGGACCTGCCCTTTTCAGAGCGGGCCTAAATGGGGGCGAACCACGCGGTGTATGTCCTTCGGGCTAATCCCGTGCATCGCCTTCCATGCGAGGGACATCGCTGAGTTTTAGTGGGTAAACTCCTGCTTCTTGTCTAGCCCCTGCGGGGGTGGGGCCGCAGGAGGAGTCCCACATAACCCGTGCTGCTCGCGCAGAGGGAAGCGGATAACGCATTTCTCAGCGTCAAAAAAAAATGGTGACGCCTCTCACAAAAGTGAACAGTGACCACAGTGGTGGTACGAGTTGGAGGGAGTGTCAAGTCGTTCGGCTGATATTGCGAACGGCATTTAAGTTAACTCTTTTATTTTGATGGAGTCGTATTTTTACAATTCGATTTCAAATTATAAAATAGCCTAATTTTTGTCGAAAATCACTCATTATACGAATAAACATTTAAAAACACGTCCGTATCACACCGCGGTTCGAGGGGAAGAGATGAGGTGAAAAAAATAGTGAATCTGAAAAATAAAATGTAAAAAGAAAGCAATTTGATGCTCGTTTAAGATAGAAGAAAAAAAATGTTGTCTTATTACGGCCACATTCGTAAAGCGAGACCCGAGTCCCAGCGATGTCACTAGACGCGACACAACAAAGGCTGTCAGCCGACACGCCGCCATTCTTTTTTCCCGTCGTTGAAAAGAAAATTGGCTTCTCCCGGATGAAAGGAATTCGATATTGAAACTTACATTTAATATTAACAACAGATTTATTAAGGTACCCCCGTGAAACGGGCAGCCTCCATAAATACCTATTGACAAATATACTTTGATGTGATTTGATTACAGATATGGCACGTGGAAATTAGATTCTTTTAAAAATATTAAGGAAAATGTATTTGCATCCAGTTTTGAACTTTCTGTTGGTTTCATTACAGATTTTGTCAGATTTATTGGTTTGAGGCTTTGGTAAAACCCCAAAAAATATTTGGTAAATTAGTTTAACCCATATATTTAACATAAGTATACTAATTTCAAAAGTAGGAACCGCTTTTGAGGGTTAAATTAAAAATATGGAAAAGTGCTTGTAATATTTTCTCAAGATATTTGAGAAATTTGAGCAATGACTGTTATGAATTTTAATGTACATGTGTAGTTTTTATTCATCTGAATAATTGTATTTTTAAAATTTCTGAACATTGCATATTGAATGTTTTGTAGCCACCCAAATTAGAAACCTGTTTATAATTTCTTATACGTATATTATGGTATGTGAATTTATTTTAAATCTTATTTAATGTCAGAAGTAAAATAGGCACTCTGTTTAATATCATACATTTAAAATAATTTTGTGAAATCAAGTAAATAAATTCAAAACGTATGAAATGGCTTTGCAGATATTCCTTTAAGATTGTTCGAAATTACCATTTTTTAATTCAATTTTATTCTAAGGCTTTGCTAATATTTCCCAAATAAAAATAATTTTGTGTGTTAGCTAAAAAGAAAAACATAAATTTGGGTTCGATCGGAAAAATCGCAAAGATTAATCTAGTGAGGTCTTTTAGGTTGATTTTACGACTTATATATTTCATCTTAACTATATAAAAATATACAATTCGATTCTATCCATCGGGAAGGTTTGCCCCAACACTGGGGACTTTAATAGGCTGGTTATGGTGAATCAACCAATTTACACAAGAACCTATCATTCCATAGCTGACATCAGAAACACATTAATAACGAACCTTCCGACTACTTCTACATCATGTTTATTGGTACACCTTAAAAGGAATCCAGCGTTCGTACATACAACACTTTTCGTTTTACAAGGAGTTATAGCCTTAGGTGAGCGATAAATCAACACTTACGATATTCAATACCGCAGGGATATCAAAGTTTTACGACAGTACTTAGGTACAATCAACATCGAGTGATGAACCTTTGATAGTTTGAAGTAGTGTATGACTGACTCAAAGTTTAGAGAATTTGTTTAAGTGCGATAAGAACTAAATTTAACTTCACTATACTTCTCAATACACAATAATACTAGCTTTTGCCCGCAACTTTGCGCGTTCGTAGTATTTCCAGTAGTTTATTTTAACAAACTTCAAGAAATAAATCGGTTCTCAATTTGACCGTTCTCTTGTATACGTTGTGCAATATCTTCGTTATTAATGGACCGATTCTGAAAATTCTATTTATATGATTATATACAAAAAAAATAACATTAGCAGAAGAGTTTAAAAAGTAGTTATCTTGTGTCTTAAGATGCAAGAATTACTGGACCGATTTCAAAATTTCTTTCACCAATGTAAAGCTACATTATCGATACGCTATGTATATAGACTATAATGAGGTGTGATAATATTATGCGTAAGTATTTCTTAAAGTCGAATATACGGAACAACTTTTTCTAACATTATTATGTCCTGAGACAAAGTGGATTTTTAAGCATTTTTCATTAATTATATTACATCTTATGTTTTTAAGAAAAATATTAATGTTCGCGATATCATCTAAGTTTTCAAGAACTTTAATTGTACCACATATTTGAGTAATCCACACTTTCACGGACATCGTACCGTCCTAGTTTTAGCACAAACAAAATGTAAAATATTAGACGACTAATCGCTTCGTCTACATTGTGAAACATCAAAAATATGTGAAACAAACTAAACCATTTCAAGTTAGTTCAAACAACAATTATTAAGCGACATAACCAAATTCTCTAATTGATTGATATATCGGTATCGATTCGTTTGATAGCACATATTACATAAGATCTGTTCAAATTCTTCGCCATTTCGCAATTACTTTAATCACCAATCAGTATCGCCTTATCGATTTCCATAAATAAGACATGTTATATGTGATAAAATAAATCATAGCTCACAATTAAAATATATCATGTACTGTGTGCGTCCAAATATGTATTTTTTTAACAAAGTGCAATATTTGAAATGCGCCATAGTTATAAGTTTGTTTTTCTGTGAAAGCACAAGTGTTTCTGAAAATGGCTCAAAAGTTAAAAATAAGTTAAGTGAAGTGATAAGGAGCTGCAAAAACCTATCGTTGGATGGGAATTCTGTTGTTGCAGATCTCGATATTGAAGCAGAGTTTCGTTCCGCGAAAGTGCCATTTTGCTTTTATACTAAAGGCTTCAGAAGCGCAGAAGGCACACTCGAAATTGATCTTCTACTGGAAAACACAATAGCTGCAGATTATTTTTCTGTTGGAATTTGCCAACTCGACTCTAATGCGGAGTTTATTATTGAAAGAAAAGACATTGCACTTTCTGATTATGACGTGAAGCTTGGGAAACTTTCTGTATCTCTCAGATTGCCTAAAAAACATATTCAATATGCTTATGTAAGTTAACATTTGTACTAGATTTTAATAACTGTGGTTTCCTTATCTTTAAGTTTAATATAATCGTAGCTCATGTGTTATAAATGCTACCATGGATATTGTGAAAATTATGTAAGATACCCGAGTAGAATAAAACAAAATAATTAAATAGTAGAGAACATCACATACATGGCTCAGACATCAATAACTGTGTCATAAAGGGTCATATTGTTATTGAAGCGCTACTGACTGACTTTCCATAATTACGCTTACATTAACAGAACTGCCCTACAGAACTTTGGTTTGAGCCGCAGAAGAAGAAGAAGGAGATTGTTTGAACAGTATATAATAATAATATTTTTTGTGTCATAAAACTTAGTCAAGATAAAAAGTCCACCCCCATTAACGAAATATGATCTGCTGGCTAATTTTCCGTAATTTTTCCAGCATAAATTGTAGACTAAGTCACGTATGATGTAGGATCACGTAGATGAAAGAATTTTTAAATTGGTCCAGAAGTTTCGCTGCCTATTAGATGCGAACAATCAATTAAAACTTTCCTTTTATAATATTAGTTAAATATCTATTTACAAAAATAATAAAGTCCATTATAAAAAACCCTGACATAATCCTATCATTTCAATCAATAGAATGGCATTTTATTATCATAATAACTTCAACAGTCAGCAGCAGCAAAGATATCGTTTGTCTAATTATTAGTTACTTACCTACTTCAAATTTTTAACTAACTTAAAAAAGGAGGAGGTTATCAATTCGACTGTATTTTTCTCTGTTTGTTGCCTCATAACTTTTTACTAGGTGGATTTTAATTTGGTATGGCAATGACATCTATGAGGAAAGCATATAAGTCTTAAATTTGCATTAAGTATGCGGGATGTTTGTTACCTCAAAACTCAAAAGATCACATAAATGCATGATATAAAAACTTATATTAAAAACATGGAACCGACTTCAAATTTAAAAAAAAAAGTGAAATATTATACTTATCTTAAAAGCGGTTAATTTTTTTAAGATACATTGAAGTCGAGCGGTTAATATTTTTATATAACAGATTTATTAAACCATAAACTACAAATAGATGCCAGTTGCAATGAAACAGAAAAAATAGTAACAGTATTTCTATGTTTATTTTCAGATAAAGATTTGGGGTAATGTTTCAAGAGCCACATCGATTTTTGTAGACTCTATACGTTTTAAAAAGCTTGGTGCAACGGAAGAAATTTATATTTATCAAAATATTGAAATCTCTGACACCATTAACACTAACACTGGAATTGTAATGGCTACTGAATCGTCGAGCACTGACACGACTACTGAATCAACAACTATTGACACAACAGCCACACCTACAACGCCCACAACGACTACTGTTACAATTACTGATACAACATCCTATGGTACAACGACAACTGATACGACTACTGTTGCAATCACTGATGCAACACCCACTGATACAACGACTACTGTTACAATCACTGATACAACGCCTACTGTTACAGTAACAACCACTGATACAACGTTCATTGATACAACACCCACGGATACAATGATAACTGTTACAGGAACAACCGTTGATTCAACGATTACTGATACAACACCCACTGTTACAGTAACTACTACTGATACAACACCCACGTATACAACGAATACTATTATATTAACAACCACTGATTCAACGATCACTGATACAACACCCACTGATACTACGACCACAGATACAACAACTACTGTTATAATCACTGATACAACACCTATTGTTACAGTAACTACTACTGATACTACGATCACTGACTCAACGACTACTGTTACGATCACTGATACAACTCCCACAGACTCAACAGCTACTGTTACAGAAACAACCACTGATTCAATGATCACTGATACAACACCCACTGAAACAACAACTACTGCTACAATCACTGATGTAACGCCCATTGATACAACATCAACTGACACAACGACTACTATTACAATCACTGATACAACACCCACCGGTACAACAACAATTGATACAACACCTACTGTAACAATAACTACTACTGATACAACACCCACGGATACAACGACTACTGTTACAGTAACAACCACTGATACAACACCCACTGACACAACGAACATTCATACAACGACTACTGTTACAATCACTGATCTACCACCCACTGATACAACAACAACTGATACAACGCCTACTGTTATAGTAACTACTACTGACACAACGATCACTGATACAACACCCACAGAATCAACGACTACAGTTACAGTAACAACTACTGATCCAACGATCACTGGTACAACACCCACTGATACAACGACTACGGTTATAATCACTGATTCAACACCCATAGATACAACGCCTACTGTTACAGTAACTAATACTGATACAACACCTATTGATACAACGCCTACTGTTATAGTAACTACTACTGACACAACGATCACTGATACAACACCCACAGAATCAACGACTACAGTTACAGTAACAACAACTGATCCATCGATCACTGATACAAAACCCACTGATACAACGACTACGGTTACAGTAACTAATACTGATACAACACCCATTGATACAACGCCTACTGTTATAGTAACTACTACTGACACAACGATCACTGATACAACACCCACAGAATCAACGACTACAGTTACAGTAACAACAACTGATACAACACCCACTGATACAACGACTACGGTTACGGTAACTAATACTGATACAACACCCATTGATACAACGCCTACTGTTATAGTAACTACTACTGACACAACGATCACTGATTCAACACCCACAGATACAACGCCTACTGTTACAGTAAGTAATACTGATACTACGTTCACTGATACAACACCCACTGATACAACAACAACTGATACAACGCCTACTGTTATAGTAACTATTACTGACACAACGATCATTGATACAACACCCACAGAATCAACGACTACAGTTACAGTAACAACAACTGATCCAACGATCACTGATACAACACCCACTGATACAACGACTACAGTTATAATCACTGATTCAACACATATAGATACAACGCCTACTGTTACAGTATCTGGTACTGATAGTACGATCACTGATACAACGACTGCTGTTACATTAACAACCACTGATACAACACCCACTGATATAACGGTTCCTGTTACAGTATCTTCTACTGAAACAACGACCACTGATACTACGCCCACTTATACAACGACCACGGATACAACCCCCACTGATACAACAACAACGGAATCGTTGACTTCTGATACAACCACTACTGAATCGACAACTACTGCCACAATGGAAATAACTCCTGAAACTGACGCGACAGAACCAACAACAATTTTACCTGTAGATGACGACGAGGGTTTCTGGACGCCACTAGCAATATCTTTAGTAACATTAGGATCAGCAGCTGCTGTCTGTGGGATAGGTTATGGAATATATAAGCTATATCCTACAGCAGTTTCACAAGATATACCTCCAGTAAAATTGAACAATGAAAATGATAATCAACCGCAGTTGGTATCGATGCCTAAAATTCGAATGAGAAGTATTGAGGACGGTCTTGTCTAATTTGTTTTTATTCTTATATGGTTAACTAATGACTAATTAAAACTAGTCTATGGAGTCCCGTGTTAGTGCGCGCTTTTCTCATTGGTCTTTGGCCAATAAAACAATGATCAAAGAGTGAAAACGAGGAACAGAGAGAATCGTTCTTTTGTAACTGAGCAATAACTTATACACAGTTACTGAATTCACCCGAAAAGATAATTGAATTTTCTTATTTCTAGTTTGATTGAAATTAGTTTTGTTCGCAATTTGATTTGCGTCACTTTGAAGCGACGTGTGGCAAAAGAATTATGCATTATTTTGTTCGTTAATAATAATATTTGACTTCAATTTAAAGTACGATGTTGTGGTACATTAAACTTAATTATAGTCTTATAGAATAGGATAAGATAATATTTTGTGTAGTATTCAATATTGAAGATTACAGAAAATAATAATATAACGTATTATGATACACACAAAACTAAATATTAAGTAAGAATAATTCTTATTCGTATTATTCCTTTTTATGTTTAATATGTTAAATGTAATTCTAGTCAATTATTATTATTAAAACCTAAAGTTTACGTTAATTAATTTAAATTATAAGAAGACAAGTCGTATTTTAGGAATACGAAATTTTCCATCTTAATTAAAACAAACTTTTATTTTATTATTATGAATCAGTTTTAGTTGGTTCTGATTTTTTTATAATTTAAGTTTATATTACCTAATTTATCTTATCTTATCATGTTAGTGTTATCTAGAGATGAATAAAAATTAGGGTGCATGCGCCAGTTCCACACCACCAACCAGTAAAACATAATTACAATTTTTAAACATAAATATCAAAGTTTTTATTGCATTTCCCACTATTTTTGCGTTTGGTAATATTGCTGTACTTCTACCAACCATGTAATCATAACTAAAATCTATATACATGCCATCTGCAACTTGGTCAACCTAGGTCACTACTTGCCACATTATTTTTTGCAATAAGGAAAATTTTTATAATCTACGTTTATATGATAAGTAAGGAGCACTATTGTTTTTATATAATTTTATAGTATTTAATTTTTTTATATTATTTTTTAATAATAGATTCACATTATCAAATAAATTTCAAAATGTTGATAAATCGGTTTACCACTAATACACCCACCTTATTCCTGATTATATCTATCATTTTATGTGTTACAATAGCATTTTTAAGTGTTGTAAGTAAAAATCTATGTTTATTAGTATGTTTTTTTTTTATTTTATTGGAGAGTTACAGTCTTATTCACATTAATTATGTTTAAAATATATATATGATCCTCAAGCTGCCACAAGCGCGGGAGACGGTCAAGCAACTATTCAACTGTTGGAAATTTTGCATAGAATCAAATTCGCCGCTGCGTCTTCTGCCATGTAGTAGCAAGCTGCTGCAGCAGCTATTGAAGCCGATGATAACACCGAACTACCTATATTTTAACAACACTTTTTGCTCTTTACTTTATTAACATCTTAAAATTATATTTGAAACAAATAATAGTCTCTGTCGCCCCGTATGATGAAGGTTCCTGCAGGTGAAAGAACTTTTCAAATGTTTCCTTTTTATGATATTAGCATAGCTATACGATTGTTAAGCAGCTTTTGCAAGGGCCGGTTACGGAATGGGTGACCTAAAATTTACTAACTCGAACTCGGAGGCACGTTATGCCGTGCCCCGGCTGCATCTGCAGTCGTTAACAACCACTAGTCTGCACTGGACCCGCGTGGTAGGTTATAGCCCATTCTCCGTATTCGGTTTGAATAGATTCCATGTATAGGGGAGGCCCGAGTCCCAACAGTGAGAATATTAATAGGCAGCTGATGTACAAATTAAATGTGTGTATTGTTTAAAAACGTGGATACATAAAATTTGATCAATTTTGCGTTGCTATACTGATAAATATTTATAATGATAAATACTTCAAAAATCGGGAGACCGCTCTGTGAAACATTTGTAATCTAAAAGGTCTCAATGAGAACTCAGCTTAGCCAAGCCATTATTGAATTGAAACTTAATTAAATATTAAACAACATCACATACATTGCTCAGATGCCAAGATGAGTAGCTAGAGCCCCCGTATTATGGTGTATCTGAGACAACGAAGGTACCACAACACCCAGATCCTAGACAATATAGAAAAGATCAATTCCTACATTGATCCGACCGGGAATCGAACCCGGTACCTCGGAGATTTTTTTTTAATTTAATATAGAAAAAATATATAATAAACCGATATACTTTTGAGATGTGAATTTCTCTTATCTACATTAATACTATTGAACAAAATTATTACTTCATTAAACATATATATTTCATAATTTTAACAAATTTGATCTTTGATCTGTCGTGCAATGAGTTTATTCGTATACGAATACAGGCCTCAATACATATTTAGTTTAGAACCAACAAAGATTTTATTACCCATAGACAGCCTTGATTGAGGACTAAAGAAGTCTGCGAGAAATAAAACTTTAAACATTAGAATTTAAACCTGAAAGTTGGTGAACAGCAACATACCGTTGTGATGATATTGCTATAATTTTTACATGAAAAACGACGCCACATTCGAAACAAATACCCTTTTTCTAATACCCATAGGAACCATCCATTTTATTTTCATAGGATCCATTTTGATTTTATACCCCTCTATTTATATTTGGTCAATTTTGCATTCAAATTGCTATACTGAAAAATATTCTGAATGAACAATGCTTAAATATCCACTTTATTACAAAGTGGTTTTTTACGCATTTTTCATTAAAAATATTTTACCCTTCTTTATTAGAAAACATAAGATTTCGATGCAAAAGTTTCTTTCAAGCGTATTTCACAAGGGCCTGTTTAAGATGGATGACCAAAAATGTATTATTGTTGTTATTATTGTGTTGTTTATTAATAGTAGTATGTTTTTTTTTTTTATTGTTATGAATTATTTATTGTGATGTATTTGTTTGTGTAATTGAGGTCAATAAATGTCTCTTCTTCTTCTTCTTCTTCTTCTATTATCTCTAGCTATATATCCTCTGTGCCTGGGAAGGCACGTTAAGCAGTCCCTGCTACATCTGCAGTCGTTTACTTCTACTTACTAAGCCACACTGAGTTAGCGTAGGTCATGGCCCATTGTCCCTATTCAATTCGATTCCATCCATAGGGAAGGGCCCAGCAATGGGGACATTAATGTCTGATGATGACACTTACTGTAAAACAAGATTTTTTATGTATTACTATAGACTCACTATTGATATCAATCCTGAAGTCTGAAGTCATGAATAAGATCTACGGAACCTGTTCACTCTTGCCTTGTACAGACTTGGATTATATACTCGGCATATTATAAACGTCGGCGAGGAATTCCACTCCTTGATTGTGCTGAATAAAAGACGATAATTAGCGTTTCGTGCGTTCATTTTTCTTTAAGTTTTAATTATTCAACGATAGTAATATAAATAGTAATAATCTTCACTTAGCAGGTTTTTGTATATTATTTATTGAGCTTTACTTACCAATGAAAAATAGTACAAAAGACTGACTTAATTCTAATAGCATTCTCTCCTAGTCAACGACGATAAAAGCTACAAAATCGGTATAGTAGAATATAATGAATGTAAAAACGTGTTTATAGTAGAACAATGCATAAACCAATAATACACATATACACCACATAACATACAATATCAATATACTTACATATATAAAGCAATATAAATACACATATGATGACAAGAAACTTTGCAAAAGAAAGGAGTGAACTTGTTTTTTTTAATAAATTTATTTCAAAACAATGGACCGTTCCTCAGTCGAATTGTTTATAGAGCGAATAAGTTGGACATCAGTATGAAAAAGAGGAGTGGATAATAAGAGAGATTTAGAAGAGCGCAGTTGACGGCAATGAGTGTAAGATAGATATTGTACACTTCAAGTAATCTGGTGTATGAGGATTGGAATGAATAAAGTGTACCTAACAACCACATGTCTTTCCGCTGTCGAATGGAAAGCCATTTTAGCTTTTAACGATAGTTGCGGACATGGTCGAATTTGCAATATTATCAAGGTTAAAAATTAAATATTGTCAAGGTTCCCAAGAGTTCCCCATAGTATAATTAATAATAAAAAATAAGTCATTATCGACCAACTGTAGTTTAGTAATTTTACGTTATAAAAGGATGACATCATTGCAAATAAAATATCAACAATATCAATAGGACGTCCACAACCTCGAATACAGATAACTGAACGAACAAAAGAATGATAACAACAGACACCGCTTAAATTACCTGTTGAAAAGAGAAATAAGAAATTAAAATAATTTAATATTAAACAAGGGTTTCTAATTGGTAGGCCCCCTACCCATAGGGTAGACTAGTATGCTAAATAGACTCTAGATGAAAAATTCCATATCAGTCGACTCGACTAAGAAACATAGTACGTTATCCTTCACAACAAGGGTCAGCAACCTGCGGCTTTTAGGATGTAAGTTGTGGCTCTAGAGGACCATTTACAAAATCAATTAGATTACTGTCAAAATCTGTACTATAATAAGATTGAGATACTGACTTATACACACTGTGATGAGAAAAAACATCTGACACTCCTGTTTAGGTTCCTATTTTATTGTGGACCAGGGCTCGGCAACCTTATCAAACGGAAGTGCCAAAAACTAAGATTTACAAAAGGTTACTGTTTTAAAAAGCCATTGGAAGATTTCGTAACAGTTTTTATTATATATATATTTTCACTTAGAAATTTAAAAAAAAAATGATACATATGAACCACAACCATGATTATGCCGATTTTACAATATTGAACTGTCTTGTCTTTGTAGTATACTTTTCAACGTATTTCAATAGTTTCCTCTTAACTTATTAAGCATCAACTTGGTGCGAATCGAAACATTTTTCTTCTTAAATTTATAATAAATAAAAAAGATTATGAAGGGAATCAATAATGTATTTTCATTTAAGTCAACAATTGTGTTGCTAAGCAATTTTCGACCCCTTGTTTGGTTGCTTGGCTACATCACTGTTGACGTTTCAGTTTATAGCAAAATACTTACGATGACGCTAGTAAAAATGTCAACTGTCATTTGGGTGAAAATTCCCCCCCCCCCTGGCATCTACTTTTTAACCCCACCACATTTCTTTTAGAACTTTCAAAGGGTATCAATTTTGTAATACATATATTATTTTTGCGTATCATTCGTAAACGCAGCGCTCAAAAATTAAGATATTCTCCCGTTTCTGCAACATTTTTCATTGCTACTCCACTCATATTAGTCATAGTATGATTTTATATAGCCTATAGCCTTCCTCGATAAATAGACTATTCAACACAAAAAAATAATAATTCAATTCGAACCAGTAGTTCCAAGATTATAGAGTCCAAAGAAACAAAGTAACAAACTCTTCAGCTTTATTATTAGTATAGATAAATCAAACAGATTCTTAGAAATCATCATATTAAATTGATAAGCTTCTGTAATACATTTGATCAATCATATTCCTACCTACCTAAATAATAAAGACCAGTTTTACCCGTCGTATCTAATAATTTATTACATTCTTGGAATTTATTTCTTTGGTTTTATCTTAATTCATTTTGACGCATTACGCATTCTTCGATTGCAGTTATTAAATGCTTACATAGATTTTTATAACGTCAATACATGTTATCAAATTCGAATAAACAAAATTTGAAAAAAGTAATAAAACATTTCAATAACTTACTGAGACGTGAACATTTCACGACCTCCGTTGCCAAATGATTTCAAAGTTCCATATCTCCGAGGTACCGATCGATTCTCGTTGGGGTCAATCTAAACATGGACTTTCCTTTAAAATCTCGAGTCTGTGTGGTTTGCTGCCTTCATTGTATTATATTATTGGAGCTTCCGCTAATCATTTTAAAATCAGAGCAATGTATTGTGATGTTGTGAAATAATTAAAATATTGGAAACAGAGTCAGATTGCGGTATCAAAATCACGCGAAAGCACTCCTAATCCAACCCCACCACGTTTTATGTGCAAACAAGCTGTTTTTCTGCGACTTCACACTTGTAAATTATAGCCTATATAAACTCCTTATATAGCTACCCATAGGTAAAAGAATTTTTATAATAGGTCCAGTAGTAGTAGCCTATTAGAAACAAACTACCTAACATACAAACAAACAATCAAATCTTTCCTCTTTATATTATTAGTAAAGATAACCCTTTTAAGCTTCATTCGCATTAAAGAAAACTATCCTATGTCCTTTTTAAAGTCCATTCTATGTGTGTGTGTACCAAATTTAATTAAAATTGGTTTTCATGAAATTTGGTTTTATTATAACGTAACAGACAGATAAACAGTCTTTCGATTTTATTATTATTTTATCAACCTATACCTTTAAGCCAGATAAGAGATCTAGCCCTATTGACCATGTAATTGTGATTTTGAATGTCATTTTAATGTTACCCAAAGTAAAGGTTCCAAAATGCTAATTAAATAAAAAAATCCCTTTATAACAAAAAAATATATAATTATGAGTATTATTATTATAGAGCTTTTATCTATTTTCTATTCATCATCATCATCAGCTCTTTTACGTCCCCACTGCAGGGGCTCAGGCCTTCTTTATGGATGGTTAAGGAGGATTATAGATCTATTAAATGCTCGAAATTTTTTCACCTCAAGTTACACTCTACATATGATTAATTTATAAACATCTTTAACAATGAGATTTCAATAGCACTCCTCTATAATAATAATTATATTTATTTGTAATATCCGTGGCTAAAACCTATGTAATTATATAAAGGAACGATCAATGTTCATATTGAAAAAAAATATCAGACAAGATATCAATCTAATATTAAGAAATCAATTTTAATCTTATATTTCGTGATTATATTTTAAGTAATTATGATATATACGACAAGATTAAGAATGCATTATCATGACTTTAGCTACCTATATTAGAATCAGTGCACAATATGTGATATTGTACAATATTTATTATTATTTCGCACAAATTAAAATATATTTCATAATTGAATTATTAACAACCTCAAGTACATACGAATAATAATTAATTCTCATTAATATGAAAACTTTTATGAAATTATTATGCATAACAACGATTGGTATAAACTTCATTGCGCAGAAGTCAGAAACACTTCATATTATATATTCAAAACTCGTAAATATGAAAGTCATAAATAATGAGAAAGGAAAAACGTCATTTCACAAAATGTTCTTGGTTCAAATAGTTTTCTGACATAAATTTTGAATTCAGGGACGGTGACGGTGCTCCGTGTTTTATTATTTATATACTTAAGTATAATTCTGACTAATATTTATGAATTTTGAATATATTCATAAAGTGTATGCAAAAGACATCTGGCAATGAATTCTTGAAAACCTCAACCACTAAAATTAAAATTTTAATTGTTTTTTTTCTAGCTGTCATATAACCTTATTTGATATCAATATGTTTAAATAAATTACGATATACATACACACTGCAACTATTTTTTAACATTGAACAAAATTGATCATTCTACACTACAAAATTCAAAGTTTACACTGTCTAAAACCATTTTTATGGGGTTGTGCCGTATTCATCCTATGACGTCTCATCCTATTTCTTCACTCATCCCAAACTCTGTATTCCTAACTCAACCTATGAATATTTTTCTTAAATCATCCTAAACGCGTATGCGTATAGGATAAGACGTCATAGGATGAATACGGAACAACCCTTTTTATGATCGTAAAACCTTTGGCGGAGGCCGTTCATATAGTGTTGCGTCATTATTCATTACGTAACACGGGAGACACTGAAAAAAAAGCGTTTCAACTCATTTAAGAACTGAAAAATTGTTGGAATTAATAAATTTGGTTAATATAAAAGACATAAATAATAAATATTGGTCACGAAAAGATTGATGGCAAATAATTCGGAGAATCGAACAGATCTCTATTTTACCAGATACAGGGAATCGGCTTCGTAACGAGTACGTGTTCTGAAAACTTAAATTCCTAATTTCAAATTAAACTAAGTTTTAAATTATGGCTAATTTAGATAGTTTTCTTTTTTCAATAAACAACTAATTTGATCATATTAGTTATGAAAATAACGGGGGGCTCGATGGCACAGAGGACTGCGATACGGAAGGCAACTTTCCAAAGGGCCCACCATAAGATGGATGACCAAAATTAGTTGGTTAGCACGAACTCCTCCGTATTTCAGAAGACTAGTTTTTTGTAATAAGTTCTATATTAAGTAAACAGTATTAGGATAAAGAATATATGATTTGTTATTCTGTTATTTGAAAATGGAAACAATAAATTTTATTTATAATCAAAATGAATGATTTAATATTCTTAAAAATGGTTTTCTGTGTAGTTATTTTTCCATAAGTTATATGATGACTAAGTTTATACTAAGCCAATTTGATAACAAAATCTATTCGGGTTTGATGATAATTTGTCTGCCACCAGCTCACTCGTGTCGTTTTTTCATATAAGTTTTGATATTATATAAAACAAGTAGCGCTCCGATAAAATAATTATTATCATTAGAGAATTCTACTCTTTCACACAAATGCGAAGAATATTATCTTATCCACGATAACGTTATGAATAATTTCGATAATTAAATATTAACGTAAAGCTAGATTTAACTGTGATTTAGCATCGTTTCAGGAATTACCTATTTCATGATGATACTCAATCGTGTTGTCGGTATGGCGCATAGCGTCTTGTTATTAATATTTTTATTGACATATCAGAGTGTGTTTTGTGAAGACTGTGTAACATACGATTTCGAAAATGATTTCGATAATTTGTTCAGTTCCAATTCAGGATTATGCACGAGCCAACATTCATGGGACATGAAACATTACGATACAACTGGCATTACCAGTCCTAGCCCAAATAGCACAAGTTTTATTTCGCCACCAGTATTTAACGGTTGTGTATCTTCGTTTAGTTTTCCTATTGAAAATAATGGCATCGTAGAAGTGAATGTCTACATGGATGAAAACAGTGATCAGTCGGACTTTATAATAGTTCTTATTCAATCAATTGACGAAAACGGAATTGAATCTACCATAACTAATGAAATGTACTCACCGTCGCAATCGACTTTTGTTGCTGGATGGATAACTTTAAGACTGCAATTGTTAATGTTAGCACCTGCACAAGGATTGGTAAGGGATATGTGTTGAACTTAATTTTGGCAGAAAAGACAGAACTAGAGACTATTTAAAGAACTTTTTAAAAGAAAAAATTGTTGCCTAATATAATACTTCTATTACAAGCAACACTTATTATTAAGATTCTATATCGAAAGGGTTTTAATTAAACTCTGTTAACATGAAACCGCTGTCTGTCAGTTCGTATAAATATACAGACATCACAAGGTTATATCTTTGAGGCCATAATAGGTAGACTTGACATTTTGATATATACGTCGTTATAATGATTTATAAAAAGGAAAGTAATTCAAATCGTGTGGCGGATTTTCAACTATATGGCCTTTTTGCATTTTTCTATTGCCTTTTTCTTGTGCTCAAGACTTTGAAGCGTTATGATAAAACGAAATTATCAAAAATATGTTTAAGTCAATATTGTAATTAATGTGTAAAATTTCTTGTGCCTATTATCCTGAATTGATTTACCTAAATTATCTTGTTTTTTTTTGGAATCCGAATTACGTATCACGTTAAGAATCTATAATGATAAATATCTGCTTGGTGTAGTTGATAATCTCTCGTAAAATCATAGATTAATTTCTTGACTTTCATACATATGAGTCAATTTTAAATAATTGATAAATTTTCCATAAATTGTAGTTTTTTCAATAATTATACTACTACAAATACTGAATCACTAATATGTGCCCAGTAGATGACTATTATTTGATACCCACTATTCAATGGGCTACTCATTCCTAACAGACTTACTAAGACTAGGAAGTCTTCAAGACAATGGTGGGAGCAGTTTTGACGACTATCATTGGGCTGTAATACATCAGGTGTATTGCAGTCACTTTGTCGTACCACAATAAAAATAATAAAAAAGAAATCTAACCTGCGCAACTACTCAAGAGAAATTACTTGAAAAATCTCATAATATAAGCAGTTATTTTTACCAAATAAACAAAAATGAACTAAAATCTACCTCGTGTGTTCATAAGTTTTGGGACGAAATAAATGTTGCGTAACTTTTTTAACAATTAAATACATTTTTAGAAATATAATTCTTAAAATTTCAGTAACCATGAAAGAGATAATAATCAACAATAAAATATATATTTTATTCAAAATGACCGCACTGTTTTTAATACAGGCCTTTAGACGATTTGGTCAATCATCAATGGCGGCACGAATCTTTTCTAGGAGAATTCGCTTTGCTTCTCAAACGAGGGTTCCTTTTAGTGACTCCAAGTTTGGGTGGGACTTTCGGCAGGCCCTGAAGTTTAATTCAGTCTATAAAGAATATTCCAGCGGGATGAGGTCGGGGCTGAAGGAGGGCCACTCGTCCGCCGCGATGTAGGCTGGCACATTCGCCCTCAACCAAACTTGGATACTTTTTGTCTTATGAGATGGCGCCAAGTCTTGCTTTAAAACCCAATCCTAACAAATAACGTATCAGACAGGGGTTTCACCACGGACTCTAAAATGTCACTCTGAAAATTCTTGGCTTTCACCTTGACATCTTGTTGGCAGAAATAGAGTGGAGTGACACCCTCATACGAAACTCCCCACTACACCATCACACTTGCCGGATGATGAGTGCATGAGACATTCCGTGCAGAAGCTGGGACATCCTTGCTACTTTTGGCGTACACTTTATTGTTTTGTCGGTTGAACTTATTCGACAGTAAAAATTTTCTCGTCGGTGAAGAGTATCTTCCTGGCATCATGTCTCCTCAGCAGCAATGGACAACTATCGCGTCGTAACTTACGAAGACGATCGTTTAAAAAGTGAACTTTTCTACGGCCTTTACCTTTACCTTAAGATCATATTTCAGTAATCTGTTCACTGAAACGCGCGAAATATTAGTTCGACGAAATCGCTCTCGGATGATTTTGATGTTCGCAGGCGTCCTCACAGAGCGTGGCCGACCACTTCTTTGGCGATCTTGCAGAGAACTTGTCACTGTGTGTAATAGATGAAGTTACGGCTTACAGAAAAACATTTCAGCTTACGGAAAATCAGCATTAGTTTTTTTCCTGCCTTAAATAGCGAAATGACAGATGCACGTAATTGTTTCGTTCCCTCCATCGTGAGAAAATATAAATAAAATAATTTGCGATACAAATAAACTAAAAGTTAACATTCCAAATTCAAAATCGGTAAAAAAATAAATAACATCCAGTAACATTTTATTTTATTTTTTCTGTAAAAAAATTGTCTCTAAACTTATGAACATACGAGGTATTAATAATTAGAATTCTATATTACTATTAGCTATTAATAGTTATTGTCTGATTCAAATTCTAGTTCATTGGCTAAAAATATTTGCTTAAATTATTTATTTTTCTCAAGTAATGACTTACTAATACTACGAGTATTAGTCTGAATTTAAAGAGTGAATTAGATTCTAGTTCTTACTTTCCTTAAAAGTACTTAGACTAGTACTAGACCATTTATTTACAAATCCACTTTAAGAAGGCGATAGAAAGGAATTTAATAATATTTGTACAAGTACGCGTCGAATCGCCAATATCCTAATGTAACCAGTCTTTAATTTGCATGATGCAAATAAAATTGGTCCGCTTTCTTCGGCTATGGTATGCGATCGCCATTTGTCATAACCCATCAAAATTTTGCAGTATTCATTATAATAAAGCAGTATCAATCACTGTGCAAATTATAAGACCTTTCGATCTCTCTTAAGAAAATATGATAATCTTCTTTACCTATTTATATAACAAGCGTGATACCCGGATAAAAATCGGCACCCTTCCTCTGAAATAATATTTCTTTAAATTGCTCAATGAAGTCTCATTTTACTGGCTAAACGGAAATTACTGATCAAAAACACCGACCACTGAAATAGTTCATACTCCACCCTTCTTCACCCTCTCCACTCCACTCCACGTATACAGACTCCAAGTACTCAATGTTAATGAACAATTACACGTTAAATTATATTACTGATAATGTAAACTTGTACAATGTATAATATATTACCATAAACAAATACAGCGGCGGCCTTAGTCATTGCGAGGCTCCGGGTGGCAGGTCCTTGCGAGGCCCTTTGTCCTTCGTAAAAAGTATGTGATTCGAAAGTAGTTTGGGTCAAGTATTTGTCATGTTCGAGGAGAAATGCTTAAGCTATACAAAGTGTTATGCAATTAAAAAACCGATCTTTAAGTGGTACGAAGGGGTATTCAATTATGTTTTGAATGAATGATTTAGTTAACTAACATTATTTAAATTAACTGCTATGTTATAATATATAACCTGCATAAATAAAGGGTCAAAATAAAAAGTTTTAAATTTAAAAAATATTGTTAAAAAAATATATGTATTTTTAAATTTGATTGGCTTGTTGCGAGAGGCCCCGGAAGATTGCCCCGTTCGCTACCCCCTAAGGCCGCCGCTGAACAAATACATAAAATCATTTTCAATATTTACCAAGCAGATTTTTAGCCAATTGGAGGTGGCAAGTTCTGTTGGTAACTGCATTGATTATTAAAAAATACAATATGAAGAATTTATAATTTTATAGAAAAATATCAAATTTCCTCTCAAATTTTAAAATTCTCAATATAATTTTGATTATAACGTAAAAACTCATCGAAAAATCTCATAGTAAAATTTGATTTTAACAAAATACATTATTGCAGGTATACCTAATAGGAATGGCTTCAAAGGACTCTTCACTGGCTGTCGACTCTTTCAGATATATTCCACCAAATATGGACGAAGAAGAATGTGTCATATACGACGAAATTACAACTACTTCTACAACAATTGATGCGACAAAGACAACAATTGATATAACACAAAAACCAACTGATACAACACCGACAAAAATTGATATAACACTAACACCGACCAAAGATTGTATCATATACGATTTCGAAAATGATTTCGATGATTTGTTCACTTCTAATTCAGGATTATGCACGAACCAACCTTCATTTATTTTGAAATACTTTGATACAGCTGGCATAACCAGTCCTCACCCAAGTAGCACAAGATTTATTTCGCCACCAGTATCTAATGGTTGCGTGTCTTCATTTAGTTTTCCTATTGAAAATAATGGCATCGTAGAAGTGAATGTCTACATGGATGAAAACAGTCATCAGTCGGACTTTATAATAGTTCTTATTCAATCAATTGACGAAAACGGAATTGAATCTACCATAACTAATTTAATGTACTCACCGTCGCAATCGACTTTTGTTGCTGGATGGACAACTTTAAGACTGGAATTGTTAATGTTAGCACCTGCACAAGGATTGGTAAGATATTCATATGTTAAACATGATTTACTCGTAGAACTCCATTCACGTTCATTCGAACTACTTTTTAAAAGAAACTATTATTATAATGATGACTTTTAAAACCAACTCCGTAAGTTATTCGGCGTTTTATAAACCAACATAAATTCGAAACTTTTTATTTTAGGTTATTGCTATTTAATAGAGAAATATACAAAAAAATAATGATTGATAATAAAAGTGTGATACATCTTATTTTGTTAGATGGTCGCCTTTGAAACATTTTAATGGGTACATTCTGATCTAGATACAAACTACTACCGGTAGGAAACCGCTTCTCTCAATCTCAGTAGGTCATGAAAGGATGAAGTCTAAAACAATTGGACGATGAGAATATAAAGAGTTAATACGCTGGTCTAGTTCGTGAAAGACTCAAAATAGTGAGCCTTGTATACTTAGAACTAAAAGAATTTCGAAAAAAATTATCCACCCTATTGTTTTATGATATTTATCGAGGGCAAACATGCAAACTAATCGAAAAATATAAATCACTTCTTACTTTTTATGCAAACTATAAGGTACTAAAAGAAACAAAAAATTGAAAGGGATTTTCCAATAACCCCATGTTTGATAAAAACAAACATCCATTTCACTTACCTATATTTTTCCAATTATTATATTTTTTAGGAATCTATTTCGGACGTGTTTTTTCAGGGAACGCTCGATTTTGAATGTCATGAATAGTAGCTAATAGCTTATGAATTGAAGATGGGAAATGACAAAAAAAAAATACTTACATAAGGTGTAATATAATTATATGCCAGGACTTCGCGGAGATGATTGTTAAGTATACTGATCAACTTTTACTGTGGGAGCAACACCAAATCGGCTGTTTCATACAAAATTGCAATACCTACAATCATTGACAGTATGAAACAGTTGTTCATTTCTTTATGAAAAGTTGTTCAGTATACTTAAATAATCCACCCTCCAAAGTCCTGGCATATAATAATATTACACCTTATATGTACAATTATATTAATATTTTACAGTTATAATCCCTGATTTAGCTAGGCAATACGTTTCTAAATCGATCTACATGCTATCTAACTCATAAACTTTGTCAAAATCGAAAACAGATATGGGGAAATTTTCTTATATACAATATCTCTCAATGGGTGAAAGCAATTTGTGCAAAATTATACTAATTTTAAAATCATTAGTCTTCACACTCGTTGATCGTTAGGCAATACAAAGTTCATCAGGGCCGCTATTATTTAAAACAAAAAAATATGCAATAAATACTTAAACATGCAATTAAAAAAAAAATAGTGCTGATAACTGCCAAGATTGATATGAAAATATTTGAAAATAAGCTTGCTGATTGTAAACCTACAGTAATAAGTCGATTTTAAATAAATTTCGATATTTCAGGTGTACATAATGGGCATGGCTACAAAGGAATCTATAGTGGCTATCGACTCGTTTCGATATATTCCACCAAATAAAGACGAAGAAGAGTGCGTCATATACGAAGTAACCACAACGACAGTTACAACACCATCATCAACTGAACTGACAACGACTGAGACAACACCAAAAGCGACTGATACAACACCGACAGATATAACACCGACACCTACAGAGACAACACCGACACTGACTGAAACGACATCGACACCGACTGATACAACTCCGACACCGACACCAACTGTGACAACACCGACACCGACAACGACTCAGATAACACCGACACCAACTGAGACAACACTGACACCGACTGGGACAATAGTGATACCTACTGAGACAACACCTTCACCGTCGCCAACTGAGACCACAGCAACACCGACTGATACAACACCGACACCGACTGATACAACCGCGATACCTACAGGGACAACACCGACACTAACTGAAACGACATCGACACCGGCTGATACAACACCGACATCGACTGAGACAAAACCAACACCAACTGAGACAACACCGATACCGACGCTAACTGAGACAACACCGAAGCCGACTGAGACAACATTGACATCGACTGAGACAACACCGACGCCAACTGAGACCACACCAACACTTACTGATGCAACACCGACACCTACTGATACAACCGCGACACCTACAGAGACAACACCGAAACTGACTGAAACGACATCGACACCGCCTGATTCAACACCGACATCGACTGATACAACACCGACATCGACTGAGACAAAATCAACACCAACTGAGACAACACCGATACCGACGCTAACTGAGACAACACCGACACCAACTGAGATAACACCGACACCGACTGGGACAATACTGACACCGACTGAGACAACACCTTCACCGTCGCCAGCTGAGACAACAACAACACCGACTGATACAACACCGACACCGACTGATACATCACCGAAACCGACTGGAACAATACCGACACTGATTACCACAACCACGGCACCTACAGAGTCAACACCGACACTGACTGAAACGACATCGACACCGACTGATACAACTCCGACACCGACACCAACTGTGACAATACCGACACCGACAACGACTCAGATAACACCGACACCAACTGAAACAACACTGACACCGACTGGGACAATAGTGACACCTACTGAGACAACACCTTCACCGTCGCCAACTGAGACCACAGCAACACCGACTGATACAACACCGATACCGACGCTAACTGAGACAACACCGAAGCCGACTGAGACAACATTGACATCGACTGAGACAACACCGACGCCAACTGAGACCACACCAACACTTACTGATGCAACACCGACACCTACTGATACAACCGCGACACCTACAGAGACAACACCGAAACTGACTGAAACGACATCGACACCGCCTGATTCAACACCGACATCGACTGATACAACACCGACATCGACTGAGACAAAATCAACACCAACTGAGACAACACCGATACCGACGCTTACTGAGACAACACCGACACCAACTGAGACAACACTGACACCGACTGGGACCATACTGACACCGACTGAGACAACACCTTCACCGTCGCCAGCTGAGACAACAACAACACCGACTGATACAACACCGACACCGACTGATACATCACCAAAACCGACTGGAACAATACCGACACTGATTACCACAACCACGGCACCTACAGAGTCAACACCGACACTGACTGAAACGACATCGACACCGACTGATACAACTCCGACACCGACTGATACAACACTGACACCAACTGTGACAATACCGACACTGACAACGACTCAAATAACACCGACACCAACTGAGACAACACTGACACCGACTGGGACAATAGTGACACCGACTGAGACAACACCTTCACCATCGCCAACTGAGACCACAGCAACACCGACTGATACAACACCGACACCGACTGATACAACCGCGATACCTACAGGGCTAACACCGACACTAACTGAAACGACATCGACACCGACTGATACAACACCGACATCGACTGAGACAAAACCAACACCAACTGAGACAACACCGATACCGACGCTAATTGAGACAACACCGACACCAACTGAGACAACTCAGACACCGACTGATACGACACCGACACCGACTGATACAACCGCGATACCTACAGGAACAACACCGACACTAACTGAAACGACATCGACACCGACTGATACAACACCGACATCGACTGATACATCACCGAAACCGACTGGAACAATACCGACACTGACTACCACAACCGCGGCACCTACAGAGACAACACCGACACTGACTGAAACGACATCGACACCGACTGATACAACTCCGACACCGACTGATACAACACCGACACCAACTGTGACAATACCCACACCGACAACGACTCAGATAACACCGACACCAACTGAGACAACACCGACACCGACTGGGACAATAGTGACACCGACTGAGACAACACCTTCACCGTCGCCAACTGAGACCACAGCAACACCGACTGATACAACACTGACACCGACACCGACTGATACAACTCCGACACCGACACCGACTGACACAACCACGACATCTACAGAGACAACACCAACACAAACTGAAGCAACACCGACACCTAGTGATACAACCGCGACACCTTCAGAGCCTACACCGAAACTGACTGAAACGACATCGACACCGACTGATACAACACCGATATTGACTGAGACAAAACCAACACCAACTGAGACAACACCGATACCGATGCTAACTGAGACAACACTGACGCCGACTGGGACAATAGTGACACCGACTGAGATAACACCTTCACCGTCGCCAACTGAGACAACAGCAACACCGACTTATACAACACAAACACCGACTGATACATCACCGACACCGACTGGAACAACACCGACACCCACTGACACAACCACGACACCAACAGAGACAACACCGAACCTAACTGAAACGACAGCGACACCGACTGATACAACTCCGACACCGACTGATACAACACCGACACCAACTGAGACGACACTAACTGATGCAGCATCGACACCCATTGATACAACACCGACACCAACTGTGACAACACCGACACCAACCGATAAAACACCAACACCGACTGAGACAAAACCGACACCCACTGAGACAACACCGATACCGACACTGACTGAGACAACGCCGATACCGACTGAGACAACACCGACACTGACTGAGAAAACACCGACACCAACTGAGACAACACCGACACCGACTGGGACAATAGTGACACCGACTGAGACAACACCTTCACCGTCGCCAACTGAGACCACAGCAACACCGACTGATACAACACCGACACCGACTGATACAACTCCGACACCGACACTGACTGACACAACCACGACATCTACAGAGAAAACACCAACACAAACTGAAGCAACACCGACACCTAGTGATACAACCGCGACACCTTCAGAGCCTACACCGAAACTGACTGAAACGACATCGACACCGACTGATACAACACCGACATTGACTGAGACAAAACCAACACCAACTGAGACAACACCGATACCGATGCTAACTGAGACAACACCAACACCGACGCCAACTGAGACAATACCGACGCCGACTGGGACAATAGTGACACCGACTGAGACAACACCTTCACCGTCGCCAACTGAGACAACAGCAACACCGACTTATACAACACAAACACCGACTGATACATCACCGACACCGACTGGAACAACACCGACACCCACTGACACAACCACGACACCAACAGAGACAACACCGAACCTAACTGAAACGACAGCGACACCGACTGATACAACTCCGACACCGACTGATACAACACCGACACCAACTGAGACGACACTAAC